GAACATAATGCATCGTTACATTGCATTGATATTTCAAGTTCATGTTAATTCATCTACCGGTACCTAAGACGGAATGAGATTGAATAGGACATACAATAACAAACTGGTAGCAAGTCACATCAATTTTTTGAGAACAAAAGATGACTGGACCTGAAAAAAGTCATTTATGAAGCAGGGTCATTGTAAGTCAACTTGAAAGTATATCCGCAAATATGTGTCGATGTATATAGACAAATTCATATTATAACTAAGGAACAATTTTTGTTTGTGATATTTTCTAACCTATAAAATTCATATAACTAACTAACTAACTAACTAACTAACTAACTAACTAACTAATTTAAACTATCAGAGTTATAGAACTTTACACGCATACGCACACACGCATAAGCACGCACATGCACACACACATATGCACTGTAATTTTATATTGAACCAGGTATTTCTAATTTCCATATACGAATTACAAGGTTTTATTGTCAATCACAGCAAAAAAGTGAGAATGACAAGTCAAAGATAGTTTGATCTTCCCTAAAAGATGATGAGTCTAATTATGAAGACAGTCCATTTATAAACTAGAGCTGCCACAGGAGTGACGAATACCCAAAAATGATCTCTTTGACACAGCCTATTTGGTACATTTAGTATAATTTATAAATATTTTTAAATGAAAACATTTACTTCAAAGGTGACCTTCATTTTGAACAGAAATGGCTTGTGTTCTGTACATTGCCTTATTTATGTAAACATTAAAATCAAGTTAAAAATTCTTCAGAATAAAAGGATTTCTACAGTAATTGTCTGATAATTGAACTTTGCATTTACAGTGAGCCTGCAAGGCCGTGACATAGGTTCTTCCCATTGCAATGCATATGTATGATCCCAATTTTTTGGAAAGCCATGAAGCGGTAAAAGACTTTCAGAGCAAACACAAAATTGGATGATATTTGACCTTTGACCTTTAAGGGTGACCTTGACCCAAAGTCAGCACAAAGTGATATGAGGTATGTATAACACCTTATCAATTTGAGCATTTATGTCAAGGTTGAAGAAAATTTTCGAATTGTTACAGAAGTACTGAAGAGAGTTAAACTTGTTTCATCTCAAATTGTAAACTTGACTTTGAACCAGCTTCAAGACACAGAATTTTACGGCTGTATCTTTCTACGGTCCCATGAATTGCAAAACAAAGGTTTATTTCGTATCCATCGAAGTGCCATACGCAGTTTAGACCCGGACACGAATACTTCAATAAGTGACGATAACTAACTTTTATTCCATGAATCAACAGAAGACTGGCTAATATCTCTTGGTAGTTATCTCTTTGTATTTACATCCTACCGATAAATAATGAACTATCAAATCCATCATCGTTTCTTTATTTACAATACGTTCTCCTGTTGCCAATGCAGTCAACGCCATAGAAATAATGATGAAAGATAACACCAGCATATGCAATTAGATAACACAATACAATTACCTACTATAGTCGCAAATGCAATTCTGACAGACAGATGCGCAGATTGAACCCTGGTGTATAAGAGTATTTTAAAATAAAAACTTTTGGTTTAGACCCCGGTGTCCAATTCAGGATATAGCCAGATTTATGTGTTCTAGATCCCCATATATTTTCTTTTTAAACCAGCTAATATGAATAAGTTTCCTAATAATAATTTAACAGATTTATAATGAAAATAAGGATATATTTAAACTTATATAAGTAAAAGATCACTAACCATATTTTTCAAGCAACTTCTAAGCTATCCAATATGGCAACAAATGACGTCACGATCACGTGGCATATACATTGAAGTTGAAATTGTGAATTTATGAAGCTGAAATCCTGAATTCGTGAAGTTGAAATCGTGAATTCACGAAGTTAAAATCGTGAATTCATGAAGTTGAAATCGTGAATTCCTGAAGTTGAAATCTTGAATTCACGAAGATGAATTCGTGAATTTGAAATCGTGAATTCATGAAGTTGAAATCGTGAATTCGTGAATTTGAAATCGTGAATTCGTGAAGTTTAAATCGTGAATTCACGAAGTTGAAATCGTAAATACATGACGTTGAAATCGTGAATTCATGAAGCTGAAATCGTGAATTCATGAATTATGTATGATGAAAACGTGAATTCACGAAGTTTAATATATGAATTCATAAAGATGAAATCGGAATTCATGAAGTCGAAATTGCCCTACAGGTCTTTCGTAGTTTTTGAATACATTTGTTTATTAATTTCACCAGTGAAATGTTAGTTATTTCTGTCTTTAAATACATTTTTATTTATGTCTTTAAAAAACATTTGTATTTTGATTCATTACGTATCTTACTCGGCGCTTTTCTCATTTTGTGAGTATATCAAAATAAAGACAGTTCCGTCGGTTACAATCATATTTTATTCGATCATCAAAACTTTGTGTATGTTATCTTATCTTTTTTTAACAATCTTGCTCTTTATCTATAATACAAATCCTTCTCTTCTTGTTTTTATTCAGATGGCATAAACTTCCTGCCGGAAAGTTTTAAGTTATACGTGTGCATGACTGTGGCAAACCGGTTCCTACTATTTTTAACATCAATTACTTAATGATACAACACAAAATTCTTAATTCTTTTGCATAATATGATTATTTTTGTAACAGTGTCAAATATTTTTACATGTTTGTCTTTCAAACGGAAATGACGTCAACAACCTATGAAAACATTAAATTTCCTCTCAGGCGATTCCTTCCTGGTCTACAATCAAGGGAAAATATTTTTTTAGGTTTCTTTTTTCTTGTATTAGTGTATGCTGTATCATCTGCGTGGACTTTATTCCTTATAATGGTAGCTGGCGACGTACATCCAAACCCAGGACCCTTAACCTCATTACACTCGTGTGACTCGTCTCTTTCAAACATTTCATCACCGTCTTCCTCTTTGTCAGATTTGATGGTTAATAACAGGTACTTTTCTGTCTTACATTATAATGTCCAAAGCACTGCAAACAATATAGATATCATGGAAGCTGAGTTTGTAAATTTTGATGTTCTTGCTTTTTCAGAAACATGGCTCAAATCTGATACGTTTTCGAGCGAAATTAGAATATCTCACTTTCATCAACCTGAGAGGAGAAAAGACCGAACCGACAACTCGTATGGCGGGGTTATTCTTTATGTAAAAGACACACTGTATTATAAGCGTAGACTTGATCTTGAACCCCCAGGTCTGGAGTGCATATATATTGAACTTATGACTTCATCCCAAAGCGAATTCTTTTAGCAATTTTCTATCGCCCTCCAAACGCTAGTGTTTACCACACCAATTTAATCAAGGACTCTCTTAGTTTGGCTCTCGATTCGGGTATAGCCGACATCATTGTGACGGGTGACTTCAACTTTAATGATTCAAATCCTCAAATGACAAGAACGCTTCAATCTCTCTGCTATCAATTCAATCTAGAACAACTAATAAACAATCCCACTCATTTTACAGAAAACTCTTCTTCGATTCTTGATCTTTTCATAGTTACCATAATGCCATAATGTTGTCATTTCCGGTGTAGGAGAACCAGTTTTGATCAGAACCAGCGCTATCATTGTCCAATCTATGCATTGTTTTCTTTACCATCTGCTCAGACGTTTAAGCGAGAAATATTGCTATATAACCAAGGAAATTTTAATTTACTAAGAGATAAAATCAAACTTATTAACTGGGACCAATTTCAGGATAATAATATCAATAACTACACATGTTCCTTTTCCAATAAACTACTTGAGCTCGCAAAAAATGCATACCAACACAAACCATAATAGTAAGGCCAAACGATCCACCTTGGTTAACAACACATATAAGGAAATCGATAAATTATATCGAAGAGCAAAACACACTAATATCCAAACTCATTGGGAAAAATTTAAAAAGGTCCGCAATGAAGAAGTTGCCTTAATTCGGAATACCAAAGAAAACCATATCCGAAAGCTTGCAGAATCATTAAAAATGAGTCTTATGCCTCAAAGAACTGGTGGAATCTTATCAAAGGTTTTATCTCCCCTTCTGACAAACAAGTAATCCATCCTCTAGTCGACACTGTTTCGGACTCTTTGCTATTTGACATCAAAGCCAAATCTAATCTATTAAATATTTTTGTAGTCAATCCACACTTATAAACTCTGATAAAGACTTGCCAACAATTAACTTTGACGAACCACAAATCAAACTCGAAATTATAAACATTACTTCACAAGATGTAGAAGATACTTTGAATTCTTTAAAATCAACAAAGTAACAGGTCCTGGTGAAATTAGTAACAGTATTTTACGGGAAACAGCATCGGAACTCAAAACTACACTATCTTCTCTTTTCATTTGTTCTCTTCAATGTAGCAAGGTTCCCTTGTCTTAGAAGGAAGCCCATGTTTGTGCTGTATTCAAGACAAGCGACCCTTCTATGCCAAATAACTATCGTCCAATATCCCTACTATGCTGTCCGGAAAAATGGTCTTGAACCTGTTGTATTTAAACATTTATATAATTTCTTTAGGGATAACAATTTTGTTTCCACTTGACAGTCCGCTTTCACACCAGGCGACTCATCCGTCAATCAGCTTACGTCCCTTTATAATACATTTTGCAAAGCTCTAGATGACGGGTTAGAAATTAGGACAATTTTCTTTGATATCAGCAAAGCTTATAATTAAGTTTAGAGCAAAGGACTCATTTTTAAATTAAAAACTGTTGGGTTGGATGGACGCCATCTTGCATGGATTTCTGACTACATCTCAGACCGTCGTCAAGCTGTAACTCTTCCTGGTACAAGGTCAATTTGGTCAACTGTAAATGCTGGAGTTCCTCAAGGCTCCATCTTGGGTCCCTTGTTGTTTCTGGTATATATCAATGACATTGTCGATGAGATGATCATCATTAATTTGAAACAGAAAAAAATAAACGATCAAAATTATAATGTAAGATCATATAAATAGGCACACGACATTTTCATCATACTCTATATTCAGGCTTTCAAACCATCGCCTTTGAAATTAGGGATGTCGCAACAGTTAATGAAAGAAATAAAAGAATTTCGAAAGTTACAGGCATTGAAGGTGGTTGATGAAATTAAAGCGGTAAGTTAGCTTACAACTTTAGAACACTTAAAAGATGTATATCCATTGCTTGGATAGTGTAAGGTTATTTATTGTTGTTTTGAATTATATTCATTACTACGGACAAGTAATAGAAAGAGCATCGAAACACGAGGCTACCTGATTTGTACGAGGGGGCGTAATCAGATTGCCGAGTGCTTTGATGATCTTTCTTTTGTATCATAGTCAAACATAAAAGCACGGTTCCTGTTGTCACAATATGAAACCCCAGAAAAAAGGAACCAATGAACGAGCATCTGAATATGATATTTCTGTCGCCTTGCCTTTCTCTGTCGTCACAATAAGAAAACCCCAGAAAAAATTAGCCAATCAATGGGCATGCTCTGGAGTGCGGGTAACTTATACCTGCACCCCAGTTAACGCACTGTGCATGTATATGTATACGATTTAATTAACTCGGACGCATTTTCAACAGAAAGGTCCCCAAACTATGATACATAACAAATATTTGCTTAATTTATTCATAATAATGATAATATAGGACAAACGGTTGATAAGTCAACTTATTTCCAAGTTATTGGCTGCAAGTCATTTGTTTTGGAATAGTTGTTATTTTTGAGTCTATTTAGGAGATTCCAGTATTGTTTTGGTTGGCCTAGATGCATAGTTTCTTTTCATTTCGTGATTTATGTATACTGATATATTTATTCATAATCTGCTTATATGACCTACTTGCCTTATCTAAATTTTGTTTGTTTTCATGACTTTTGTGTAAGTTGTACCTCTTTCTAGCGGTATTGTACATACGCCTAAATTTTTGGCACTGAGGCCCATACCAGGGTTTACTTTTTGGTTTTCTTTTAAATTTAAATGTGTTTTTCGATGAGAAGGTTAATTCTGCTGCATTTTGGAAAATAGATGAAATTTTATTTGCAATGTCGTTTATGTCTGTTGCGGATGGGGTCTGTTGCATATTTTGTAGTTTGGTTTTTATATTATCGACTTCAGGGTATTGGATGTTCATAACAAATTTAGACTTAAGGTCATTAACCCATTTGGGTTTTTTTAAGTGGTACGTTCGGAACTGAGTCGGAAGCGGATATACTTAGGCGGCAAGTTATTAATGTCTATAATTATTTCGCATGACCGTCGGAGAAAAGAAGGTCTGATTCTAATATCCGAAAGTCAGTAAAATACTAAAAACATTTGTATGTTGCTAGTGCATAGTCAATCGTAGACACATTTTTAAAAGTGAATTTATTTGAGTCGCCGATTCGTCCGTTTAATATAAAAAAATTATAGGTTTGACAAATTTCGATCAATTTTAAGCCCGTGGCATCAACCTTTGAATCGGGCGATAATCTTTGAAGGGGAATATTTAGCCGTTTTAAATCTTCTACACAGTTAAAGTCATTAACAAAATCTTCATCAAGATCAAGCCCTCTTGCAATTGACCTATCAAAACATAGAAAATCAGGCAAACATGCACAATGAGCGTTCGCATCTCCTAGTATAATGCAATAGTTATATTTAGCTGCTTTCTCCGAGACCTCTTTTTCGAATCTAAAAAGTTCATCTTCGTTAAAAATTTATGGGATATAGGTGGGATATACATTGTTCCAATAATGTAAGATTTGTCATTTATGAGGAATATTTCCACCAGTGTGATTATTACGCTACAGCTTTAATATTACCAAGCGGCGGCGTAATAATCACACGGTTAGGGGAAGTGCCGTTAGAATCACACGTATGGTCTTAGAATTACTCTAAAATAGTTAAATCACACACCATTTTATTTTAAAATGAATTCCGCATCTAATAGTATAATTTTTGTTGGAATTAATTAATTTTCTAACACACGGGAGTGTTTTAAAAAGCATGTATTGCACCGATTTTTAAATAATTATGACAACCTTCGTTATGAATAATTATAATTATGTTCTAATAAATATTTTTTTTAAAGTTTTAGTTCTACTTTTAGAATGTGTTATATTTATCGTGTTCAAGACAGTTGTGATTTTAAATATTGATAATAGCTATGTGTGTTTGTTATATTTTGCCAGGGATGTAAATAGACAATCATTGATGTGTCATTTTTCTTAATTAGAATAACATTATCTTAACAAATCGAAGCGTTTGAACGTAAGTTATTACATTAAATAATGGTTATCAATAAAATTGCAATCAGATAGAGCTACTTATATTGCCGAAATGTATAATTTGTATTAGAAATTAGAATAGTGCACGTGTTCGATTATATCGCGCCGAAGATACAACGGCCATGCGTACGAAATTATATTTAATTTAATCAAACATTTTTGAATTATGTAAAGTATAATACTATTTTCTCCGAAATCAATTTTGTAGACGGTTAATGCAAACTTTTATAATGTTTTGATGTTTAGCAAACTTGATCTCTGTAAAAAATGTATAAACCGCCTGCGACAGTAAAGCCGTGATAAGCCGTGATAATCGCAGCATGGTTTTATATTTAACCAAACATACTAGAATTAATAATATTGTTTACTAAAATGAATTGTGTCAAATAATTGTCCTTCTTTTTTACATATATGTTTGTTATCCAACACACAGGAGCATCTTGAAAAAAGTAATTGCAGGGAATTGGAAAAAAAGCGTCTATTCATAATTTTTGTTTTATTTTTTCTTACATAAATTATACTTGTTCATGTCGAAAAATATTATGATAAAGAAATATCTTTTACCTAGATTGAAATTATCAATGTCATATCCGGTTGGTTATATGCATAATACGTATTGGTGTCAATTCTCTTAAAATCGCTAGGCGTGAAAGTTAACATTGTGCACTAAAACACGAAACATACTGTTTGAAACTGTTTGAAGTGTTCACCATTCCTTATATCAGTTTATTGACAAATATGGGTATTGATAATTTTTGTAAACAAGCACATTATTTATCGCCTAAATCTTTTACCACCTGATAAATCTCTTATTAGCATAATAGCGTCGCGATCTGTGGGTGTATAGATACTGGAAAAGGCAAACTTTTTGTTTTTAGTTTTTTTTTCAACAATCCGTGAATTCCATTTGAGAACATTGTATACACACACATTCGCATCCTACAGGTTAAGTATAAGACAAAACACAGTTGTGATTAGGATGATGAAATGGGCAACGGTAAAAATATATGTACAAATGAGCCAAAATTGTTTAATTTCAGAGGTTCAAACTGAATATAATTGATTATTGACAAAGTTACGTCCCCTTTATAAAACTACCTCATTAAATAACTGCTCACGATTTAGACTGTATACATATATAAAGTTATATTTATATATTTAGTGCTTGGAACATATTAATACATACGTAAAAGGGAAGGGATTCCAATGAGCAGGTTATTAATAGATATTTAAGGTCAAGAGGTTCTACTATTCAAGCATTGTTGACACAAATTTTACAATTTGAATTTTCAACTGTGTTCAATAGTTTTAACAATTTATAAAGTGGTTCTGTTCTGTGATATTGTGCGGCGGAGTAATAAGGGCACGGTTATGGGTAGTGCCGTGATAATCACACACACGACTTTATAATTAATCAGTTTTATCCGAATGATAAATTATGATTATTTTATTCTAAAACCAGTTCTGTGTTTAATGGTATTTTATTTTTAAATTCTACTATTTGTATTACCACGCTTCGTTATAATCACACGGTTGGGAGTAGTGCCGTGATAATCACACGTACGGTCTTATATAAACTCCAAATAACACGAAATAATTTTAAATTATATATACTATTTTATTCCAAAATAAATTCCGCATCTTATGGTATAACTTTTGTGCGAATGCTATATTTGCCCAAAACGCGGGAAGGTATTAAAAAAGCTCATTTTACTGGAATTTTCATATGAGTCGTCATTTTCATATGAATACAAATAATTGTGTTTTATTTCTTTTCCGGTATATAGTTTATAAATAAAAAAGCCACCAGACGTGAAAAGATATTTGATTGATAAAGTGATCAAGATTATATTCTAAATCAAAGCACTGCAAGCACTGAGGTATACATTTGCTTGACATTACGGCATCCAGTCTTGCATAAGGATTTTTCAGAAAATCATCATAAATCACTGTTCTAGAACAATAGATATTTTATTAAATAACAAGAATTTGTAACAGAAGTACCAACGTCCCCCGCCTCGGGGAAGTTTTATATGAAGCTTAAAATTGTGCTATTTCAAAAGATTGAGGTATGGATCTTAGGACTTTCAGTCCAAATTTATGATCAATGCTAGATCTGAAAATGCAACAATAAATTTATTAAAGAAATCAAATGAATGTTAAGCTTTGACCTCTAAGTGTGACCTTGGCCTTGGAGGTAGGGGTGCAGGTGTTGTGCATGACACATCGTTTTATTATTGTAACCATTTGTACCAAGTATTTTCAAAATCCCTTGAACTATGATGAAGTTATAGATGGGACACAAAATGTACAACAGACTATGTTAATCTTTGACCTCCAAGTGTGACCTTGGAGGTAGGGATCCATGTTTTGGGCCTGACATATCGTCTTATTATTGTGATTATTTGTGCAAAGTATTTTTAAAATCCCTTGATCTATGAAAAAATTATGGACTTTGTAAATCTTTGACCTCTACATGTGACCTTGACCTTGGAGGTAGGGACACATGTGTTATGCATGACATGTTATCTTATCATTGTGACTATTTGTGCCAAGTATTTTCAAAATCCTTTGATCTATGAAGAAGTTAAAGACGGGACACAAAATATACCATATAACAGACTGTTAACGTTTGACCTCTAACTGTGCCCTTGACCTTGGAGGTAGGGGTGCAGGTGTTGTACTTGACATATTGTCTTATTATTGTGACTATTTGTGCCAAGTTATTTCAAAATCCATTGAACTATAAAGAAGTTCTAGATTGGACACAATATCTACCCTTTAACAGACTATGTTAACTTTTGACCTCGAAATGTGACTTTGACCTTGGAGGTAGGGATGCAGGTGTTGCGCATGACACAT